AGCAACAACAACAAGAACAAATTTAGTGTAAAGAAAAATAAAAAAAATATCAAACAGCAAAAAGTAGAAAGAAAAACAACACAGCAAACGCGCGCGCTCTCTTTCTCAATTTTTCTAATATACATAAATAGCCAGCCCGATTATAGAAAAACCGCAAAAGTGTGACCAAAGCGCAGGCGCCAAGTGTGACCCTCCTATGTATATATGTAAGTACCTAGCTAACTGTACAATCAACTGTGGGCTGGCTGTATGCCATATGGGATGTTTTCATGAATAGTTGTTGTACAATAGACCAAATTAACATACAACAGAAGTGCATTTGTTTATTTTACGCTTACATATATATACAAAAACGCACATACTGATAAAATTGGCGCTGGCGCATTTGAAGCAGTCGCCTTTACGCATTGCTGGTCACACTCACGCAAACGTCATATACAAACACAATTATCTACATGTGTATGAGTGTGTATTTGACTGCCGTGCTAAACCTTGTAGCATGCTTCTCAGCGCACTAAACCCAACTTTGTGCCGTTTTAACACATGTGTGTTTATATATATTTATACATATATCTATATAAATAAGCCAACTAAACATTGCGCACGCACCACCCAAAAACAGTAAAGTCGAGCAGCAGACAGTGGCAGCCATAAAAGTAAGCGCAGCTGAAATATCGGACGCAAATACACAAAAAACTCAAACTAGACGTTTTATTCCTATATCAAAATTACAATTATGAAAGTCGCTGTTTCATTCATACATTTTTCTTGATTAGTTCTAAAATCAAGTATTTTATTCAAGTGTTAAAAAAAACTGTATTTATGCCATAATATCAACAGTTCTTATGTTTTGTAAGTTCTTTCTTTCGATTTAAGCATATACATTGTATATTCCCGCTGTTCGTGAAACCGCTATCGATCATGCAATACTACCAATTAAAACGATAAATGTATCGATTTAAATTTTGTATTCAATACGTAACCTATTTTTTCTCCCAGCACTGTTCAAAAACTTGCGGCCGACTGTCTGCCTGACACGCGCAAGTGAAACGAGCTTACCGCATGAACTACCCCGCATGGCTGGTGTTTCTTTTTTTTATGTGGCAGGGGGTTGGTCCCAAGGGTGGTGTGCTGCTGGTGTTGGTGGTGGGTGGTGCAAGCAGTGCATGCGTAACACGTAACCATAACCATATGGGCATAATGAAGAGCATAGCACAGCGTCAGCTTCGATGGCAGTGTAAAATTTCATGATTATTGCCCAAGCGCAATGCGTTTGCGTGCCCTGTTGTTTTTGTTGTTGGTTCTGCTGCTGTTTTAGCTGCTGCTGCTACTCTGGCAGTGCTGGCAGTGCTTGCATGGGGGATGGTTCTGATTCGCTTTTGGGGGTAGCTGCGCGCAGCCCTTTTTGCTAACTTACGTCTCGCATGCAAACACAAGCATACACACACACACGCACACAACACAATTGACGCCCTTGCAGACTCAAATCTACATACACATACATAGCTATCTCTGTTCCGTACTGGAAAAAAGTTTTTTAGTGGAAGGGGTGTTAGGCTGGGTACGCATATGCAAGTCACAGCTTTTGACCTGTCAAGAGTAGCTTTCGCAAAGCTTTGAAATGCGCACCTCTACCTCTGCTGCTTTGTCGCAAGCACACAAATAAGAATCCACACAGCAAGGGCAAAAACAAAGCACCACAGAACATAACACACACACACACACACACACACACACACACACACACACACACACACACACACACATGCACAGACTGCGCACGTTGTATAGTCATCTCTGTCGCACGCGCGGCCTGGCAGCTGGCTGCCGTCTCACGCGTCGCAAAGCGACAACGTCGACGCATGGGCGCAGTATTGATTTTTAACTGCGTCGACGCCGCCGTTTGCGTCGTCGCTGCCGTCGTCTCCGTTACCGAAAATGAAAATGCATGCACACGGCGTCAATCCGTGGGGTGGTTTGGCGCAGTGCGGTCGGTAGCTCGTTGCTCATCTTGTCGCGCGAGTCGTTTGCTCCTCTCTTCTTTCTCTATATTTTGCTATTGCTTGCTATTGTTGTTGTTATTGTCAGTGTGCGCCGCGTCGTCGCCGTCGTCTGAGCAAACGCAAATAGAACTTCAACTGGGCAGGCGGAAAAGGCACCGCAGAGCAATCGCACGCAGTATCAGCCGAAGCAGCGACAGCGGCAGCAGCGCCAGCCTAAAGATACACAACTGCCAACAATAACAATAAACTTCAGCTCGAACTGTAACTGTAATCATATTCTCTTTACCCGTCGTGCAGTGCGTTTACAATTTTACAATATTTCGGTATCGAATTTCATTTCCATTTACAACAAGAACAAAATCAAGAAGCTGATCAAATCAGCCAAACAGTTGTTGTTATTTGTTTGTTGTTGTTTGTTTTTTTTTTTTTTTTTTTTTTGCAAAATTTGTGTATGTGTTGTGAAGTGCGTTCAATTCGAAAATCAGCAAAAGGCAAGCATTCAACAAAGTGATATAAATTTCATTAATCGCAAAATAAAAAACGAAAAACTGCAAACTTTGTTAAAAGTAAAAGAGCCAAATGAAAAAAGCTCAACGCGCACGTGCAGCGACCGCTTAACATATTGAAATTATATACACACATATGGCAAACGGTGGGGTAGAAGTGGGGCGTGATTGACTACAAAATAAACTGTGTTGGAAATTGCGTTGAGGAATTGTAAGTCTTACCTGCTGAGTCTGCGCATTGTGGGGTCAATTTTAAATGTTTAAAAAGCTTGCTTAATATTATGGCTCATGAATTTTTTGAAATCATAACTAGAGATAACGAAAGAGAGAGAATGAGAGCGAGAAGAGAGATGTATAAAGGTTCTTAATACTACATAAAACACAATTCTAAATCCAACTAGACAGTGAGCGGCATATTTATATCGCATTCTAATTTGAACACCAACTAGAATGGTTACCTGCTTTTAAGAACTACAATTGAAAACTTCTAAGAGGGCAAATTCAATGTGAAAAAACCTGCCCACCCCAGGTTAAGGTTCGCCAAGCTCAAGCATTAAGGGTTGCATACCTAAAAAAAAACGCTTTGCTATTAAAAAGAGCATAAATCGGGTTTTTTAACTCCTGCTGCTTTTCACTTTCAATGATTGTGCAAAAAGAGAGCCAACACTCGTTCTACATATTGGGAATCCATGTTCTTATCATTGTGTACAGTGAGAACTCGCTAAAGTGAACTTATCCGATTAAATGTGCTTAGGTAATATATGCTTAATGAAAGTTTAATTTGTTTTGTATTATGTATTTACTTTTTATATTGTCACTAAAAACAGTATATATATATATATATATTAATTTTAATTATTTTGTTTAATATGGTGTATTATGACAATAAATGAAAAGCTCGTGTACAATAAGCCTACTATGTTGGTACAAATTTTCTAAAAACAAAAATATCGACTATTATCGACTGTTCTATGATGTCTTATTCATTTTCAAATCAAATTTGTTACGTTAGAAAAGTTACTTGTCCACTTAAGAGATAGTTTTTGTACAAAAACACGTATTTGTGTAAACAAGATGTGCTCGACCGATCAAAATGACGGAAAGGAGGAGACTTTGTACAAAAAAGCAAGGAAAAAGATTGAAACTATACGTAAATCGTGCGAATAAGAGAGCATTATTAGATGATAGAAAAAGATCTGTTCGTTAACACGAATGCCAACTGTATGAGGTGCTCATTTCTCGTTTCACTTTTCGTTCCGTTCCTTTCCGTGTGTCGTGTCCTCTAATGAGGTATTCATCAGATATACTCGTCTCTGGCGACCGCCGTACAAACTATTGACTGCGATATATAGCACACACAAATTGTTACTGTTCGTACTAATTCATTAAATATGTATATAGCGCATTTTGTGGTTGTTGTTGTAGTTGTTCTCGAATGTTGCGCATGCGCGCTTTTGACCTGATTCATTCAACGCTTATCAGTAATTGTTTTTTTTTTCTGTTTTGTGTCGTTATCAAGCTCTGTACTCAGTGCAAGGCACACCACACGCCATGTGCTTAGAAACAGTGTCAAACGCAGCATATCTTGGCATCAAATGCAGCATCTTGAGCTATTTTACAACACTGAAATGTTCAAGCCTTGAATTTTATTATTTTTAAATACATTTTTATTGTTTTCTGTTAAGCAAAAATACGTTGAAAATTGAAAAAATTAAAATCATCTCAGGATATCTTTACATATAACTAGCTAAGTTAACAATGTAGTATAAAAGTATTCGCCTTATTTTTAATATTAATATATATCTATAAATTGGAGAATAAAACAAAAAAAAAGTCTCTTGGCAGCGAATTCTATGGGCTGTACCTCTGAAAATGCAAGAAATCGATATTTATCGATTATGTTTCAAATCGGCTTGAAATGCACATGCGATTAAGTCATTGGCCACTGATATTTATCGATTTCGGGCGAGCTTGAGAAGCTATCGTTGACTTAATTATAGACTCAAGTCGCAAAAAAGATTATCATAATGAGAGGCCTATAAGGCATACAACGTTAATCTAGACGAGTTCTAATTTACCGGGTCACCGGACGTTACTTATGTGCACATCCTTTAGTTAATGCGGATATACAATTTGTTACAAAGACAATTTTATGAATAATATAAATAGTTTAATGTACCAGAAGCGACAGCTATTCTGAAAGTTGTTAAATACTCTTCAGATTTTGTTTCAAGTCCTTGGATCAGGCTTGCAACTCGGCAAGTATTTCAGCTATTCAGCTGAAATCTAGTATGTAAGTTGGTTGAGGAAAATTCAATGAACTACTTAGGGACAGGCGCGACTGATTAAAAACTGTGAGATCTCATTGGCGAGTGACAAATTAATGTTTTTTGCTTTTAAAACTTTCTCATACGCAGATCACATCACACACTCAGATTGCGCATGCGATTGGTGTCACGTAGCTTAGGAGCCGAGTCCACGTTCGAGTTGCCAAAGAGGAGCAACAGCAGCAGCAGCATCAGCACCACCACCTCGAGCAGCCACCAAGCTGGCCACCACAAGCTATCGGCTGGTTGTGGCGCCGGCTGGCAGCCAAAGGAGCGCTGGCAATGTTGTCGTTAGCACCGGCGGCACGGTCAATACGACCGTCAGCACTGGCGGCGGCAGCAATAGCTCCAACAGCGGTGGCCTTAATGTGACCACAATAACAACAACCAGCAGCGGTTCGCAGGCGCAGTCGTCGTCCGGTGGCCATAGCAATGGTACCACCTACAAAATCGAGATGCTCGACGACGATATGCAGAGTCTGGCGACGGATGATGAAGACGATGATTTGATTAGCAGCGAGGGCAGCTTATATGATGGTGATCTCAATACATTGGCCAACGATGACGTTGCCCATCAGCTGGCGGCTGCTGGGCCAGTGGGCGTGGCAGCGGCCGCTGCCATTGCCAGCTCAAAGAAACGCAAACGACCGCACTGCTTCGAAACGAATCCATCGGTGCGTAAGCGGCAACAGAATCGTCTGCTGCGCAAATTGCGCGGCATCATCTACGAGTTCACCGGGCGTGTGGGCAAGCAGGCGGTGGTGCTGGTGGCTACGCCGGGCAAACCGAATACCAGCTATAAGGTATTTGGCGCCAAGCCGCTGGAGGATGTGCTGCGCAATCTGAAGAACATTGTGATGGATGAGCTGGATAATGCGCTGGCGCAACAGGCGCCGCCGCCGCCGCAAGAGGATCCGTCACTGTTCGAACTGCCTGGCCTTGTTATCGATGGCATACCGACGCCTGTGGAGAAGATGACGCAGGCACAGTTGCGCGCCTTTATACCGCTCATGCTGAAATATTCAACGGGACGTGGCAAGCCCGGCTGGGGCAGGGAATCGACACGACCGCCATGGTGGCCCAAGGAGTTGCCCTGGGCGAATGTGCGCATGGATGCCCGCTCTGAGGATGACAAGCAGAAGGTGGGTGGGGTGGGTGTTCAAAAGCCGCCCCAAAATTATGAATCGTGTCTTATTAATCGCCCCATCCTCCCTCCCTACCAAAAAAAAAAACAAAAACAAAAACCCACAGATTAGCTGGACACATGCGCTGCGCAAGATAGTGATCAATTGCTACAAATATCACGGACGCGAGGATCTGTTGCCCACATTCGCGGACGACGAAGACAAAGTCAACCAGCTTATCTCACAGTCTGGCGACGAGGATGAGGACATGGAGCAGCTATCCAACACACCCACCATACAAACGGTGCAAACGGTCACACCGGCAACCAATACAAACACCAGCCAAGTAAGTATAAGCCAAGCTGGCAGCCATAGTTAGGGGACAACAAATATTTCGATGCTCCTTAAAAGAAAAAAAAACGAAATGTTTAATTAATGTTTATACACGGGATTCCATCATAAACACACAAACACATCTTCACCCTTTTCATACTTAACTAATACACACAACATTACATTTGCACAACAACAACAACAACAACAACAACAACAACTGCAGCCACAACAGGTGAACGTGGTGAAGATCAACAGCGCTGGCACCGTGATCACAACGCACACGGCGCAAACGAATACGCCGGCGCCAACGATCATCCAGAGCACAAACAATCAGCATGTAACCACAACAGCCACGTTGCCGGCATCCACAAAGATTGAAATCTGCCAGGCTCCAGCGCCACAGCAGCAGCAGCAACAACAACAGCAGCACCACCAGCAGCAGCAGCAACAACAACACCAACACCATCAGCAGCAACAGCAACAACACCATCAGCAGCAGCAGCATCATCAGCAGCATCAGACAACCAGCGGCAATACGGTGCACATACAGGCAGTTAGCCACAGCTCAGCACAGCCGCAGACCATACAGCTGACAACGGCAAGCGGCACGGCGACGGCCACAGCTGTGCCAACAACAGCAGCCGCTGTAAGTGCATCAGCAGCGGCGGCGGCTGCCGCAGCGCAAGCTGCACAGCAACAACAGACGAATGCAGCGCAGACCGTCACCGCCCAACAGATAGCCAATGCCCAAGTTTGCATCGAGCCCATAACGCTGAGCGACGTTGATGTTCGTACTAATCTGTCTGAACTTGTAACTAAACTAGTCAATCTTCAAATTAGCGGCTCCCCGAGCCCCACCCCTAAAAGCGGATGGCTTGGGTATTATGCGCGTGTTTTGCTCTGGCCAAAGCTAAGCAAGAGCACGAAAACGACATCAAAGATTGCCTACATATGGCATAGCAATTGTTCCCATAGGCTTGTTTCATAAGACAGTAGAGTTATTAGGAGAAAAGAAAAGCTAGCAATTGCAGAATATGTCCAAGAGATCTTGAAGACACAACTACTTGTTCATAAAACAAAATGTTTTCGATCGATACTTCCCATGGCATCTATTGGATATAGTTGTCAGATCCAACAGACTATGGCATTTTGAACAGCCTGCAACAAACACATATTCCAGAAAGTGAGAAAGTGAGAGTCTAGTTGCAAAGAATCAGACTGACGGACATGGGTTGATCATATCGCCAGTTAATGCTGATCTAGAATATATACATATATAGTTTATAGGATTGGAGTCGTCTTCTTCTATACTTTACACATTTCATGACCGAATTATAAATAAGATTAGGGAAATCCGAATTGGTTGTTTATTATATTAGAGTACTCACGGATATTAGATGACTAACATAACTAAGTACCTTTCATGTTATTATCTCAGTTTTCTATTCTCGGAACGTATCAATCCATCATATTTTTAATGTGATGTTTCAAATGTGATATTCACGTTTATTGATATATATTAAAAAAAATGTTAAAAGTCGTCTATAGACACTTGGAAATCGAATTTCTAAAAACGCATTCGTTTTCACGTATTTTCCACAGTTGTGTTTGAAATGTTCACTACTGAAAAAAAATCAGCTTGCAAGCTTTTCGGTTCCAGTCAGTCGATGATCAGTTTTCAAATTTTTCTCAATATCTTCCAACCATAAATTTTAGTTTTAGAACACGAGTGATTTGCTATATATACCTAATAGGGATAATACTTTTTAATAATTGAATGACGCGCATAATGCTCAAATCCAGCTATTTCGTTATATGTTTTTTTTACCTTTTGATTATTGTTATTTATTATTATTTGTTCTTGCTTTGTTAACTGCATTTTATAAATATTTATAATACTATATGTAAGCAAATATAATTATTAGTTAAACAATTTTTTTTGCTAAAAAACATTTTTTTTAAATATTATTTTTTGCAATTTGTTGTTTTTTTTGTCCTTTCGTTTGCAGCAACATTTAGATATGATTTTTATGCCATGCGCCCACATTAAAACCCAATCAAAGTACACACACATGTAAATACACTACATTCGGCCACCCGAAACACAATAACAGCAACGACCAACACACACACAACAATTAACACTACACAAAAAAAAAAAAAAAAAACAAGATATAATATAACTTTTTTCATGTTGCGTTTCATTTCTTATTCATTGTGTTTTTTATAATTCTCTTTGCATATTCCTTTTTTTGACTTCGTTGTTTTCTGTTGTGCTGTAGCGCATCCTTAACATTGTGCTGATAATTAACATACTCTTAACATTCTTCTTAACAGTACACCACACAAACTGTGTTGTCGCAAAACGCCGATGGTACTGTATCGCTCATTCAGGTGGATCCAAACAATCCGATCATAACGTTACCGGATGGCACAACGGCACAGGTACAGGGCGTGGCAACGGTAAGTCTTGTAACTTTCGGAAATTAGCATTCTTTGGGTGCTGTTGGTAAACATTTTTGAAATATTTTTGCAGCTGCATCAGGGCGAAGGTGGCGCCACAATACAAACGGTGCAAAGCCTTGCCGACGTGAATGGCCATGAGAATATGACCGTGGATCTAACCGAGGCGCAGGATGGTCAAATCTTTATCACCACCGAGGATGGGCAAGGTAAGTGCAAATAGAAGTCTGCGCAGCGGGCAGCAAGCACACATCGGACATAACCTATTGGTTTTTGTTGTAACACAATAGGATATCCGGTCTCAGTGAGCAATGTCATATCGGTGCCCGTCTCCATGTACCAGTCAGTGATGGCCAATATGCAGCAGTTACAGACGAATAGCGATGGCACCGTGTGCCTGGCTCCCATGCAGGTAGATAACAGCAACTCATCCAACAGCTCCAATAGCGTCACGCGCAGCAATAGCAACAACAACAACAATAACTGTAGCGTCGGCAGCGGCAGCACGGCTGCTGCGCCAGCTCCGCTGCTGGGCATCTCAGTTATCAACGCTAACGCGGTAGTGGGCCGGCGTATCGCTGGCAGCAGCGCTAGCGTCTCAGCAGCAATAGCACCAAATGCCGCCCAACAGCAGCCGTTTACATTGCAAGCGCTGCCGAGCACTCGCTTTTACTGGAGCGCAAGTCCGGCAAGCGGCAGTGCCAGCAGCAACAATATGAGTACCGGTGCTAGCTATAATCTCGCCAATAACAATAATAATAGCATGCTTACTAACAACAATAATAATAATAACAACAACAACAACAATAATAGCATAAAAATGCCAATGCCCATAGTTTTAACAGCACAAACGACGTCGACTGCGCAGCGGCGTCATGAATCAAACACTTCGCGAAGCGCAACAGCGCAAAAGCGACGAAAGCTTACCAACAGCAGCGCAAGCGCCAGCAGCAGCAGCAGCAACAACAACAGCAGCAGTAAAGTCGCAAGTTTTCGCAAAAATGCAAAGGATGTAACGGTTGCTGCTGCTGCTGCTGCCGCTGCCGCATCGAGCAGCGCTGCTGCGGCCATACGTTGTGTAGACAGCGCCAGTCTGACAAATGCGACCGGCGCGCATCTGCAGCTACCAGCTAAAACCATCAAAGAAGAGCATTTGGAATAAACTTACAGCAGCCACTGTAGCAACACGCACGCACGCACGCACACGCACTTACTTGCCACATTTATCCCCTCCCTCAACCCAAAGCTAGCTACTATTGCACATACCTAATCTAGTCAAAGCGGCGCTGCATGCACTCACACAAACAAACAAACACACACACGCACACGAACCACTTGCCATTTTTACTTACATTTAAACAAACATAGCTGTACATACAAACAAACACGCACACACACACACACACACACACACACACACACACACACACACACACACACACATGCATACATACATATAAACAAATGCAAACAATTGTGAATGCCGACAAATACCAAAAATCAAAAAGAAAACAACATTAAGCTTGCAATAATTTGCCTTAGTAATCGATATGTAGCATAATCGATAAGTATAAAACAAAATATATATTTAACACCCTACTAACAACCCCCACACTGAATTTAAAGTGAGCCAAAAATCAAACTTTTTTAATATTGAAACATTGAAACCAAAAAGTTAAAAAAACAAACAAACAAAAAGTTGAAAATAACAAAAAAAAAAAAAAAGAGTATGCATAAAATTGAATTGCCAAGTTCCTAAAACACAACAAATAATTATGCAAAAAATTAGATTTTGTTTATGTTTATTATTTATGTTTTTTAATTTTGTAGTCGCGTTCGTGCTTCAATCCAAAATGTATAAAAATAAAATCGAAACACAAGCCAAATATTAACGTATTGAGTTCAACAATTGATTTCATATATATTTTAATTATTTTTATTGCTTTTTTTTTTGTGCAATCCATGGAAAATGCTATGCAAATATTTGATTTAGTTTGTTAATAATTATAAGTAGTTGGTTTTAGCAAACAGGGAATTTGAATGCTAAAGTTTTTAATTGTGTTAAAAAAAACATTTGTGACGTAATCAAAATTTTAAAAATTAATTCCCCATAACAAACCAAATATCATAGTCATATTGTTGAAATCGTCCAACGTAGCCAATTTGCATTCAAAATGTAGCAATTAATTAAACAAAAAAAAAAAAACAAAAACAAAAACAAAACAGAATTAAACCGCCCACATGCCATTTGAGCTAGTTTAAAAAAGAAAAGAAAACAATTTTAAAAGAATATCTAAATAGAATATTGTGTATATTATGAAAGTCATGTGGCCAAAAATGTACGTGCATACAATAATTTTATGTTTATTACAATTATTATTATTACTATTATTATTATTATTATTATTGTGTTTAATGTTTTTATTACTGATTATGTTTATTATTATAATTGTTTTAGAGCAAATTTTAATTACGTGTAAACCAATGCAATGAAGCGAAAACAAAACAAAAAATCAAACAAAATTATTGAATAAATTCTTTGTTGTTGTGATTTTATAATTTCAATTCCCTCATTTCTTTTGTTTATTTATAAACACTCTATTTAATTTGTCATATCATTTTCTTTCTTAGCAGGTCATCAATTTTGTTATAGGTCTACAAATTTCCTTGCTATTTTTTATTTACCTGATTTTTGAGTAAGTATGATTTCTCAATATCTTTATTTTTTGACTGTGCACAATACAAAAACGCCAGCGACGAAATGATTAAGACAATCAAATAGTAATTTGTAAATAAGTTTAATGAAATATGTATTTAAATTGTTATGACTTGTGTGTATTTAGAATGATTTCAATTTTCTGTCTCTTCCGTTTGGCAGGTGGAAAATGGGGATCAGCTGGAAACCATTACCGTTTCGCCAGGCATGCACCAAATGATGATCCAGGGCGGACCTGGCCAGGAGCCGCAGCTGGTGCAGGTGGTCAGCCTGAAGGATGCCACGCTACTTAGCAAGGCCATGGAGGCCATCAATTCGGGCAATGTCAAGGCCGAGGACACAATCATAATGGAGCAATAGACAAATTGAAATGGAACTGGCACCGCAATTGGAACTCAACACGAGCTTCAATCATAATCTAGATTGATCACGCATGTAAATGCTTGACGACACACTCATAGATTTAATGCATTTTTTGATATGATTACGCGAATATATATTCTATATAATATATATAATAAATAGTTACTCAAATGATTATATATAGTACATAATCCACGACGCATAAACGAAAATATTTTAGAAGTACCTGAAAGGTGTTGCTAAAACAAAACAAAAACAAGAGCAATTTATAATTTGATTATTTGTTATATTTTCACACCCCAAACCCAAGTTATTTGTATCGATCTAGTCTATGCAAACGAATGAACAATTCTTCTAGTCATCAAATATCCAGTCGTAATAAATATAAAAAACTCTATTTTTCTGTTTCTGTATTTGTACAAACAGTTTTAAATATGTCTTCGCATAGAATAATATTTGAAGAACAAGTTAACTTTGGTATGCAATTTTTTTTTTAAACTTATTTAGTTTTAAATAAAATTTTCGACGGCTTAACAAATAGTTAAATTAATATCAATGGAAAACTCTTAATTGAAATAACAGTTTTTGGGGACCCTCCCCACTAGCAAAGGGTACCGTACTTAACGTTTCTGCAAGTACTCATATACCTATACATATACCTAAACAATTTATATATATTAAATATAAATAAAAACTATGCAGAGTTACTTGTACGTATGTTATGGGCTTTATTACATAAACTCACTACAATAAATTCTCATTTGCATTCATGCATTAACATCTAGTCATAAAGTTAAATTAAATATATATTAAAACCAAATTATAATTCATCTTAGGCCAAACAAAAATTAAACAGGAAACCCAATGCAATGTAAACAAAAACATCACTTTAAATTTAATTATTAATATTAATAAATAAACTGTATACAAAATGTACTCACACTTATTATGTTCATTGGAAAACCTTTGGCCACAACATACATATATATTTGCATCCATTTCCATGCAAAAACAGATGCCAAATCCTAAGATGTATTCTTTTAAGACTAGTAAATGCAACAATATAAAAGGAGAGGAAGCCAATGGATATACGCTGGTATCTTCCCGATCGGATCAGTCTTATGAATATCACAAGCTTAGCCTTAGAATGATTAAAATGTATACCACATATAGGGCCACATTGATCACGATTAAAGTAATCATTTTTCCGCTGGAAACTGCGGACACCGAGAACGGGTGGTTTTCATAAGGACAACACTTGTTTAAGCCGCCTTGTGCTTTCTCTTCTTAAGAATGTAAGAAATTTGAAGCTGAAAATTACTTTCACAGAAACCCCATGGAAATATCATGTATGAAAAACGTAAGTACTCTTAGTTGATTTCAGTTTAGTAAGAACAACTTTATATAGTCATTCATAAAGATCGAAGATATTTGTGTCGAATCAATTTTTCAGCACATTTCAGACAGATCCTTTCTTTTTTTTTTGTTAAACTTGTTTGGAATTGGAATAAAAACAAATGTTTGTTTACTTTATTAACGGTATTTTCATTAATAATTATTGTAATTTATTAATAGATTACAGGCTATGTAGTTAATGCTAACATCTGTAACGCATTATCATTATTTGTTTTTAAAAATTAAATTGTACAAAAAATCTACACAACAACGCAAAAAAGAACACGAAATATATAATATATATATATATATATATATATGTATATATATATGCATATACATTATACAGGTGCATGTATAGCATATGTACATATATACATTTATGATGTACGTATGTATGCATGTATAACCCATAAGTGTTTTAAGAGCACAACTCGTCCTACAAAAAAAAAAAAAGGAAAACAAAATTTTACAATTTTTTTTCTTAAATTAAGATTAAAGTATATTATGCACTAGAAAAAAAAAAACCAAACAAACGTAAAGTGGGGGCAAAAAAATAAACCAAAACAATAGCTACGCAACAAACATACAAACAAAACTAATATTAAAAAATAATTATAGTAATTATGGTTAATAATAGCTACACAAAAATTTCGCTATTAAACAAAAGGTGCTAACTGATAAGGCAAACCGAAACATGGAAGAGGCGACATCATCTTCGAGCACAAACAATGTTTGCCCGAACTTGTCGATGGGCGCTGGGGGAACTGGGGGTTTGTAAAGAAACTTGACTAAACTTGTTGGAGCGACGTTGTCAACAAAAATAATATATATATATATATATATATATATATATATCTAGATAAATGATAAGATAAACTGTGTGTGCCCTATAGCTCAGAGTGCTCAGCAGAAAAACTCCAGTGCGCCTGCCTGCCTGGCTGGGATATTGAATAGTGGGTTTAGTTTTAAATTGAATATAACTGCTATTGTGTGTATTATATAATTGAGTATTAATTAATTACATTAGCATTGTATTTTTGCTTTTAACAGTTTGGTTATTGTTTACTGATTATTGTTCAGTCGCCAAGTTTTTCCGATTTTGTTTTGTTTTGTTTTTTTTTTTTACAATATTTTAAAGCTAAAATCTCTCTTCTCTCTGTCTCTCACTCTGTATTTCTGTCTGTCTCTTTCTGTATTATGCTATAATTGTGTTTTTTTTCGTAGATTGCAAAAGTTAAAACCTGCTAAATTTTAATGAGTAGATGTTCGCTTAAAAGAATATATGATTTTGTACTCTGATCGCACTGGGTCTTCAAATAGGGTTTTTTTTTTTTTGGATGGTGTTGGTGCGGGAGGAAGGTGGGGTTGGGGAGTCAAAGCTTCAGCGGTGGTGCACTGAATACTGAGCTAAGTGGACTAAATACATAAATAAATGTTTTAGCTAATCCGAAGGCAAAGGGCGTTGACTTCTCGCATTTCGCAACACTGGCATTCTTGAATTCCCACACTATTTATCGCCGCCGCTCTCACTGGACGTTGTCGTCTGTTTGGTTATCACTGAAACCGGCTGATGCGCCGCTGGCACTTCGTTGGTTGCTGCTACCGCCTTGTACTCGCTCTTGATGTTGACCAGCAACTGCTTCTGCATCTGATGCTCCAGCATAATGGCATCCATTTGCCGCTCAAACTCGGGCAGGAAGGCGCTCTGCTGCTCTTGCTGTTGCTTGTAGAGCGTTTGAGCTTCCTCGCGCATCTGTGACAGCTTGGTGTCCAGGCTACGCAGCGAATTGGACAGAGCTGCTTGCAGCTGGGTTGTCGGCGACGGCAAAGGCGACGTCGCTTCTGCTGCTGCTTCTGGCACCTTTGGTGTTGATGTTGGCGACGGCGTCGTCGTCATTAGCCTCTGCAGCACACTGACGCGCGGCGTTGCTGCTGGTGGCGGGG